CCCCAAAACCCCAAAACCCCAAAACCCCAAAACCCCATCTTGAGATTGGAATATTGAAAGCACTAGTAATTATGCGATCATCTCTTGGTAAATCTTCTCTAGTTTATCCAAATTCTTGTTACACTTGGCCTGCATTTTACCCACTTTTGGCTGAGATTTACTCTTTTTGAACCTCTTTTTGGTGATTCTTTTAGGTTTTTGGGAAGTTCGAGAGCCAGTCAGGATCCCATTGAGGCACTTCTCTGTGAGATCTCTGACCCTTTTGACTGAGGTATACAAATCCTTTTGTTTTAGTCTAGCCTTGCTAGACCTGATTCTTGAATTCGAGCTCTGTCTCTTCATCCTGGCAGATGATGGCTTAAGTCTAAGATTTCCTGCAGGATTCTTGTAGTTCACTCTTCCAAGTTCGGAAGGATACAGTTGGTAGCTGTTTAAATTATACACATCATCAACATCAGGAAGGCCAAGCTTGCTCTCTTTCTGTTGCTCATATGACATTTGTAAGATATCCTCAGTCAGTAGCTCTGGCTCTTGATTGACATAATTATCAACTGAAAAATTAGCTAATTTTTCTGAACTCTGACGAATATCATGGCTATGTTGTAGATTTGATTGGCTTCTCATCCCACTGTGGGTTGCTTTATCTAGAAATTTAGGTCGAATGGACATACTGGTGTTCCTAGCTGCTGAGCCATCAAAAATTGATAGGTCTATAGGTGTAATTTAAAGACTTACTATTAGCATCAGAGGCTTTACAAGTCCTAATTTCTTCAAGCGAGTTGTTCAGCCTAATTTTTTGAGGATTATTGGAGTCTAGACTTGTTAGCAGAAAAGTACCTAGCAGAAGATCCTTGTTCACTTTTGCAACCGGCTTTATCACTGAATTATCCTCTTTGTAAGGCCTATAGATAGAGTTTTTAAGGAGATCCATGTTCTACTTTATCTTGTGAATAGTACTCAGAGTTTGTTGCTCTGCCAGAAGGAGACATATTCTCACTCTTTTCGGGAAATCTGGTTTTCAAGGTAGCTGCCTTAGAGATGATCTCTCTTGCTTCGGACAGAACACCCTCCATTAAATTTCTAAAGAAGCTCAAAGAAACTGTCCTTACGTTGATATTTCAATTTTCTTGTCAAGAATCTTCTCAAGTTGGTGAAACTCTTTGCGTGTGACATGATCTTCAAGTCAGAAATTCCTAAGCTTGCTGTCGACGCGTTGGGTGTATTTCTCAAGGTCTGTGACATCAACAGCAATATCTTCAGCCTGTGTCTTCATGAGCTTGACAAGTTTGGTCTCAAGCCTGTCTAGGTCCTCATGTCTGACCTGTTGTTGAGCATAATCACTACTTATTCTCTGGCATCGGTTGAAGTAATCCTGGTTAATATCCTGATTTTCTTTGCCAAATTTTCTGCCAATAGCTTGTAAAGATAGTAGTTTCTCGATTTTGTCAAGTCTAAACTCTAGCTCAGCCATGGCTTTTGAAGGAGTGTGGTTTTCAGACTGAGTTCCAGTACTATTAGACATCTTTTTGTAGAGGTCCTGGATGTACCTGTCTAGGATAGCATTGTCACGCTCCAGTTTTTCAACACGCCTTGCCAGCCCATCATCATTGAGAGAGCTCATGATTGGCTGATACACCTTGGACTGCACATACTGAGAGTAGTCTTGACTTGAATCTGAGAAAGACATTTTTAAATTTTCAAAAATTTTGAAGTTGAAGGGGTTTTGGGGTTTTGGGGTTTTGGGGTTTTGGGGTTTTGGGG